GCCTTCCATGAACTTTACATCAAAGACAAAAATATTGTTACTTGAAACCTGGGCATTTTGCTGAAGAGAAAAAAGGAGCCCCAGGTGAAGACAGCACAACAACGTTTTCATATGAGGTCACACATGACCTTCAGGACCCTTTGATTTAAGAAGGTAATTAGCTCCAAAGAGACTTGTAGCTCTGGACCACACTGTCCATATGGATCTTTTTAAAATTTTGTGCATCACCCAACAATGCAACTCTCAACAGGGTATATTACCAGCCTGTTTCAGATGTAGTTTAGAGAGAATGCAATGTGAATACTAACAAGGGAACCACAGGCTAACTGTGGTTATTCTTCACTCCTATCTTTATGCAAAGGCAGAGTGCTTACTCCCCCAATTCATCATTAAAGAAAAAGTACATTTGCACAGGATATACTAAAGAGTTTTTTATTGGTACACAACTCAGTTTTTAAAAAGTAAAATCAGATTTTCTACCAGTAGGAACTAGATTTTGACACAGAAAATATGTATTTCATTATTAAAAAGATATCCATAACTTTTTTTTTTCCTGTGATGTCCACATTTGACAACAACAAAAGAGCATAATATAGAATAGGAGTCAGCAGAGATTTTCTGCAAAGGACCAGATGGATTTAGGCTGTTTGTGGGCCACAGAGTCTTTGTTGTAAAAGTAAACTCTACTGTTATAATGCAAAAGCAGCCAAAGACAACACATAAACAAACGAGCATGGCTTTGTTTCAATAAAACAGGAGTTGGGTTGGAATTGGTGTGTACTGGTCAACTCCTGTTATTTAAAAAAAAAGGTCTGTACGATGGGTGGTCAAGGAAGGGGGCGTGAAAATCAGGCTTTTGTGGTACAACCACTAACCTGTCTTTGCTCTTCCTCAGTCATGTCAGGCAAGTTCTCCTTTAGGGGACTTTGCGTATGTTGTTGCTTCTACCTGGACAGCTTCATCTTAAGATATCCCCAAACTCACTCCTTCAACGCATCTGCCCTGCTCAGAGATCTTTCTTGACCATCCTACCCAAAGGTACACTATGTTGTTCTCTGTTCACTTATTCCCTTCTCTTTTCCTCATGGCCCTGCACATTACCTGGCATTGTGCCATGTCTCTATGCGTGTGTTTGTTTGTTTGGGTATTTCACTAGAAGATAAATTCCCGAGGGCAGTGGTTTTGTTTCGTTACTGCTGTCTTCTCTGCACCTAGAACTCAATGGTAGGCACACGGAGGACTTGGGCAAACATCTGATTTCCTTGCATATCAATTCTTCACCTGCAAAATAATGGCATCAGATGGACCAGTGTTGCCTACAGGGGGATTTTAGAGTGGTACCCAGATGAGCATTTTTCTTTTAATAGTTGGGTTTATATTAATATATAATATGCAAATCTGCATGTATACATAGTATATAAATCTGCAATTTAACAAATACTATTACTTGAGGACATAATTTTTCCTTTTTTGGAGTGGTGAAAAAATGAGTCTATCAAAAATATTTAATAAATTGAGTAGAAATGATTTATAGATAAGAGAAAAATCATGATGGTGTTACAAAAGTGACTGAAGTTTGGGAAACACAGGGCTAGAACCTTTAAAATGCCCC